TTGAATGACAATTTAAATAAAATAATAAAAATGTTGTAATTGTAATATCATATAGCATTATAAATTTTTTTTGAGATTAAAAAATTTATAAAATTATATATATTAACTTATTTAATATTACATTATATTTTATTTAATATTACATAAAATTATTAATTTATAATTTTATATAAAATTATGATTATAATATTTCTGTTGAAATTATTTCTTTCGGTCTCCGTGCAAATGGGCCTTGAACTTGACCACGTGGTTGCCACACGTCTCTTTGCAAACAAAGCACTACACTCCAGAACACAGGATGACTTAAATTAATGCATTCTGGCCTTGTGGCCCGCAGCTTTCAGCATACCGAAAAGAGACATGGGCCCTGTTTTGCCTTTTTATTTTCTTCGGCACATATTCTTTTTTTTTTTTCCCCCTTTTTCCGCCATACGGAAATTATTCTTCAATAGTTCAATGACTCGGTTTAGTTTCTTTGAATTTACGAAATAGACAACAGACTTATTACGTGTCATCATTCTATTGGCTACAAATCCCCCGATTTCATCGACCAGCAAAGCATACTACAACTTTATCGTTACCTGGACGGAAAAAACCGATACAAATCTTAACACCCGAAACATTTCAACCCGAGAACTCAGCGCCCATACCGGAGAGGTCTCATCTGCTTCTGCACCTCCCTGGCGTCAAGGAAACAATTTACGGAGGGGTCGTTAGTGGACGCAGGATATTCCGACGATGAGTTCTCCATCTGTTGAAGAGGAGTCCAACCTAGATACGGATAAAGATGGAGCGACGGAGGAATTAGAATCGAAACGTTTGTTGCCGCCTCAATTTACTCCCTCTACCAATGACGATGGTGAAGAAGAGGTTGCATTCGAATCTCGAGAGAAAATTCTCATCGTTGATATTGACTCCCCTGAGTCCGTCGATGTGGTCGATTTTGTCCCTCCATTTTCGTGGAAAAAACTTTGGCTATTTACGGGGCCAGGTTTTTTGATGAGCATAGCGTTCTTAGATCCGGGGAATCTGGAGGGAGATCTCCAGGCGGGGGCGTTTGCGGGATACTCGCTGCTTTGGCTGCTGATGTGGGCTACGATCATGGGCCTACTGATTCAGATGCTGTCAGCACGGATCGGGGTAGCTACCGGCCGCCACCTCGCAGAACTTTGCAGGGAGGAATATCCAAATTGGGCCCGGTTGGTGCTGTGGTTCATGGCTGAGCTGGCTCTCATTGGTGCAGACATCCAAGAGGTGATTGGCAGTGCAATTGCCATCCAGATATTGAGTAATGGGAAGCTGCCGCTCTGGGCTGGAGTCCTAATTACTGCCTCGGACTGGTATCAATTTTGGTTTATTACTTGTAAATTATGGATTTTTTTTTTCTTTATTTTGATTTGGTTTAATTAATTGCAGCACACATTGAATTTTTTTCTTTCTTTCTTTTTCTTCATCAACAGAGTATTACACCTATGTTTAGTCTTTTAGATGAGAAAACTGTTATACACTGTGTTAACAATTGTCTTCTTCTTTTTTTTTTTTTTTTTTTTAATTTTAATTCTCTTCCTTTCATGAACAGTTTTATCTTTTTATTTATGGAGAATTATGGAGTAAGGAAATTGGAAGCTGTTTTTTCGGTTTTAATTGCAACTATGGCTTTATCATTTGCTTGGATGTTTGGTGACACAAAGCCTAGCGGAAAAGAACTACTGCTTGGTAAGGAGCATATTTTTACTTTTGTTACTTGGAGTATCTAAAATTTTATTTCCGTTAGTTATTATTATTATTTTTTTGATCGACCATTTCCGTTAGTTATTATTGTTGGCTTCAGCTTTTGAGAACCAATTTTATCTCCTTCTTGTAGGTATTTTAGTTCCAAGACTTGGTTCAAAAACAATTCGGCAAGCTGTGGGAGTTGTTGGTTGTGTCATAATGCCTCACAATGTATTCTTGCATTCTGCTTTGGTGCAGTCCAGAAAGGTTGATCCAGGAAGGAGAGGCAGGGTTCAGGAGGCATTAAATTACTACTTGCTTGAGTCATCTGCTGCCCTGTTGGTCTCCTTTATGATCAACATGTTTGTGACAACTGTTTTTGCAAAGGGATTCTATGGTGCAAAGCTAGCCAATAACATAGGACTGGTTAATGCGGGGCAGTATCTTCAGGACAAGTACGGTGGAGGAATCTTTCCCATTCTTTACATATGGGGTATTGGATTGCTGGCTGCTGGACAGAGTAGTACAATAACTGGTACATATGCTGGGCAGTTTATCATGGGTGGTTTTTTGAACCTTCGTCTGAAGAAGTGGTTGAGGGCATTGATCACACGAAGTTTTGCAATTGTGCCTACTATTGTTGTTGCTATTATTTTTAACACATCTGAAGCTTCACTGGATGTTTTGAATGAATGGCTTAATGTTCTTCAGTCAATACAGATCCCCTTTGCCCTTATCCCACTTCTTACACTGGTGTCCAAGGAGCAGGTGATGGGGGTCTTTAGGATTGGGCCTCTTCTTGAGGTAAGCTTTTACCTTCTCTGTGTTGTTGCTTCTTTTGAACAGTTGTTGGCAGTTCGGAATGGGGTCTAATCACTAGATTTTTCATCAAAAGTCATGCCTTTTTTGGTCAAACAATATTCATTGTTGAAACTTTTATTCTCTATGTCTCTATAATTATATTGCATGATAGAGGGAAATATTGGAATCTTTGATGGCACACTTGGTTGAAGGGAGTAGTTTGTTTCAAGCAAGAATGCCTAATCATTAAAAAAATTTGTTCAGTCAAAAAATGAAAGAGAAAAATAAGAAAAACATTTTACAGAAAATAAGGCTTTGAAGTATATTTTTTTTCACCACTATCTTTTGTTTGGTTGCATTTGCATGTGGCATATAGTAGTTAAACTTGAGTTGCATTTTGTTATGCTGTAGTGGTTTGTTATATTAGTTACCTTTTCAATTTGAGAAGGATGAAAACAGATTATCTTCCGTTTGGGTAATATTTTCTTGTAATATGTTGCAGAGGTTGGCATGGACTATAGCTGCTCTGGTGATAGTAATTAATGGGTACCTTATGATGGATTTCTTTGTTTCTGAAGTCAAGGGACTGCTGTTTGGATTCCTAGTCTGTACTGGTACCGCTGCATATATAGCATTCATACTTTATCTTATTTCACGCGAGGGAGCATTTCCTTCTACCTGGTTCAGCATAGAGCTAACAAAGAGGTAAGAAAAGCTTCAGCCAGTGCTAGGTATTATGAATATCAGAATCAAACTGCTGTCAGCAAATGCCTCTCAGATAGATAATTGCCGTATGATCAACATCTCGGAAAACTGAACATGCTTTCAGTATGAACCGTCTCTAACTCAGTGCATAAACAAAGGTGCCTAATACTTGTCCCAGCAATTAACAGCAGGAGTCTACCTCTTGCTGCAGAGTTTAGTTTCGTTCTCAAGTGTGTAAGAATTTTTGTTTTATCATGTTTCAAGGGATGGAGGAGCTTCACAACAACCATGATAATTTAGATTTTTAGCTTCGTTGTGCCTCTTTCGGTTGTTGACAGTAAAAATGTACAAGCAACTGCATAGTTTTTCTTTGTAATAACAGCTTCTTCATGTACCATGTTCAATACCAGCATACCACAATAACAAAATTTTACGATACTCTTGTTGGCTATTCTTTTCTTATTGCTTCATTATTAATCATCATTTTCCCCTCTCCATGGATAAGCTTTGCCAATGTTCCACTTAATATTAATTAACTGTCTTGGGGGCAACTAAAAGTAGAAAGTTTCTTAGAATGCTTCCCTTGAGACAACTGGAACAACTTCTAAATTGTAGCAGTTGAAACTAAAACAAACATAGTTGCTTTGCATTGCAAGATTAGAATTCTTAAATTTTAATATCCAATCAACGTTTTTTTTTATTAATGAGTATTGACTTAGCTAAAACTTTTTCTGTTAGTACTTGTTTACACCCATTTTTACAAAAAAAAAAAAGAAAAGAAAAGAAAAGAAAAAAAGAATGGTGCCACGTGTCATCCATGTTGACAAGTATTTCATTGATTGAAAGTTATTGATATAAATCTTTCCAGATAAGGTTTAGTGGTTATTT